CGGCTCACGACTAATGCTGATATGCTGACTAAAAGCTAAGATACAAAGGACCTACTCGCACCGAATCAAATAACACTAGAGCAGGCATAGAGTTCACAAGAAAAGTACCTACACATATATTAACATAAGCATAACATCTCGACTTTAAATAAATACGTGAATTACAGCATACCTGCCACAACATCGGGCGCAGCGCGGACCTCCTCCGCAGTCAGCTGAAAGGCTCTCCCGCGAGCCCTCGGGGCCTCGACCTTCCGGTCGAGTCTCAGTAGTCCTGGTAGTAGGTGTAGATCCCTGACGAAGCTGCGGGCACTCGGCCTTCCGATGGCCTGTCTGGTTGCAATGAAAACAAACCATAAACCCCTTAGGACAATCCCTGGCAATGTGTCCTTCCTTGCCACACTTGTAGCAACCACCAGCTCGGCACGCCCCCTCATGACCCTTGCCGCACTTCCCGCAAGTGCGGCCCTTCTGACCTCCCGTCCTCAAATCAGCGGACTTGATCCGCTTGGCTGCCGGCTGAGACTGAGCCGGCCGCCGGTCCACCTGCCGAGACTCGGCCTCCTCCCTGGCCTGGGTCTCCAACTCGATCTCGCGCTTCCTGGCATTCGCCTGAAGCTCAGTAAAAGTACGATAGGTTGAGTTTGACACAAACTCCCGGATATCCCTCCTCAAAACGCCTAAGTACCGGCTCATCCGCGACTGCTCTGTAGACACCAGCTCAGGGCAGAACATCGCCCTCTCATGAAACTTCCGCGTAACCACCGCAACCGAATCAGTACCCTGCTTAAGGGTCAAGAACTCCTGAATCAATCGTTCCCTCTCCACTGGGGAACGTACTCGTCCCTGAACATGTCAGTAAACCTCTCCCATGTCACTGCTGTAATCTCCGCCAAAGTGAAGTTCGCCGTCACGAACTTCCACCAATCCTTCGCTCCCAGACGGAGCTGTTCAAAGCGAACCGCACCCTCAGGTGCTCCGGGCATGAGCAAGTGTAGAAGCACCCTTCAATGTCGGCGATCCACCGCATTGCAGCAATCGGATCCTGCGTCCCATCGAACTCAGGGGGTTTCGTGTTGCTGAATTCCCGGAATAGCAACGAATCGCCCCCTTGCGGCCTGGCAGCGGCCACGGCTGCGGTAGCCGGCTGCAGTCTCAGTCAGTGCGGCGTACCGCTCTTCGAACGTCTCCATCAGAGTGGTCTTAATAGACCCAAACATCTCCGGGATCTCAGCCCGGATTCGCTGCAGCTACCTCCTCCTGAATCATCTGACGAATATCCTCGTCGCTCACACCGCTCGAACTCGCCCCGTGGCGTGTGGTAACCATGATGTCTCTTAAATACAACATAAAATTATCAAAGACTCCATCAAGTACAATTGTACTCGATAACGCAACCCTACTCAGTCTCTGATATCCAAGGAGTCTTACCTGGGTCTTCCACCGACCCGGTGTCTTCGGTAGTACAGGCCCAATACTACCGACCACACCGTATCAGTATTCGTCCCAAATCTTCCTCCCCAAACCCCGAATAGCGAGTACTCTACTTTGATATGCACTATCTACCTGCACGCTACCAAATATCTCATATCGTCAAACTCCCTAGACTAAGGCATCACAAATCAGGCCACTCTAGTCCTATCATGAATACCTAGTCTTCTAGCATGCATAACAATTCATAATTCATTGCATAACATAACATTGTAAGGTATTCTGGGGATCTTTACCATTCGAGCGCTGGCTGATCGTACACACTACTTCTTTCTTATTTACCACTTTATCATTTATAACAGTTTATGCCTTTATTATTTTTAAAAGATTTTCCTCAAATCCTCGGTTTGAGTTCAGTTACACCCGAAGGTACACCCGAATCCCTCAAACCAAGGCTCTGATACCAATTGTAACAACGCAAATTTTCAAACAAATTTTTCATTTAAAATAAAGTGATTTTATTCAATTGAATGTAATTATTCCAAGTTTCATATCAAAATACAATCATAAAATCCCCAAGATCTCAAAATAGCAACAGTGTGTACTCATCACGCCGGCGCCTTCCCACGGTCCTCGCTAGTACCTGAAACACATACATAACAACTGTAAGCATAAATGCTTAGTGAGTTCCCCAGTATACTACTTACACATATACGCCTTTCCAGGCCCTGACCTTCCGGTCTACAACACAACGCCTTCCGGCCCGTAACATAATCGCCTTCCGGCCCATAACATATTGTCTTCCGGCCCATAACATATTGCCTTCCGGCCCATAAGCATACACAACAAATAATACATTTATCCTAACACATATAGCACATATATCATATCAGACCTTTCAGTCACATAACATGTTGCCTTCCGGCCCATATAAACATACATAGCACGCATAGCAATTACCTTTCCATTTATAGCACTTATAACACATAACATACCCGACCTTCTGGTCACACAGTCAAACCCTTCCAGGTACAGTATAGTGAGAAGACTCACCTCGTGGGTAATGAAAGCTAGCGACTCCTGAAATCGCTCGCACTCGATCCGCCGAGCTACAGACTCGGCTATAATATCATATATCCCTTATTAATACTTTTATCTTTCAAGACAACTGACCCTAAGAAATCACATGTAGGTCAACTCTGGTCAACGGTCAACGGTCAACAGTCAACTTGATCGGACTCGGCGAGTGCTACGGCGACTCGGCGAGTCTAGACGTCCTCACCAAATCCTGATGTTCCCTTTCTACTCGTCGAGTATCCCTCTTGACTCGACGAGTTCCTCGTGGAAGAATCGCGGGGCCACCCCGACTCCACTCGCCGAGTCTGAAGAACAGCTCGACGAGTCCCAGTTAATCTCCAAGCTACTCGCCGAGTCTGTTCATCGGACTCGGCGAGTCCATGCCATGCAGTCGATCAAACTGCTTCCTGAGATCAGTATTGTCCCGACCATTCATAGGTCTGGTCCTCCTAAGCTGGTACAACACGTAAGACCTTCATTTAGGTGCTCATGTTACACCCCAAAACTTGTAATTTACCTTTTGACTTAAGGCATAAGGATTCCAATCCAAAACCTCTCTTAATTCCCGAAATACACAGGCATGGGACATTCTGGACCTCTAAAGGTCCTAATACAGGGTTGTAATCGTTTGGGGAACAAGGGTAATAATCAATCTAGTCACAAAAGGGTTCCATAAACCCTAAATCCATGCACACATCAACATAGCAGAATATGATCCGAAATATTACCTGAATAATGCACTCTCTGTGTCCCCAATCCTCAGAACTTGATTCCCTTGCTGTTCCTTTAGCCAAACTCTTCTCTTCCTTGCACAATAACTTCTTCAAGATCACCAATGGCCTTCAATCCTTGCTCTAGATGTCCACAACCGATTTAGGGTTCTTCTCAGTCGCTAAAGACGGACAATGACGGCCTATAAGTCCGTTATATACGTTCCAAAACCGAACGGCTAGGGTTTCCGCTGAACAGCGCAGACTCACACCGAGTCCATAATGGACTCGTCGAGTCCAGTTTGCGAACCCGCGACCTAGTCTGTGGTCCTACTCGGCGAGTCTGGCTCCAACTTGCCGAGTCCCCTCCTAAAACACCCCAAAAACAATATTATAACAATACCTGAAATTCCGGGCTGTTACAAATATTCTGTAATTTACTGAAAACCTTTGCAATTTAATTGTATGTCAGAAACATGTAATAAACACCCTTTTGCTCGACATGTTACAAAAGGGTCAAAAATATATAAACATATATTTTTATAAAATGTAGTCATAAATCGGTTTATCGTTGGAATATTAACACTATAATCATTGTGTTTTACTTGTATTCCCCCCACTAAACACATCAAAAATTATTGAAAACGTAGGGGTATGAACTCACCTTGAAATGTGCGTTTCGGTTTTAATAGCGAACTTTAGTGATGATCCTCGGCTAGCGTATGCGGAAGTAATCGTATCCTAATGGTAATTATTTCTGACATCGTATTTAAATTAATAAGATATTAATTTAAATAATAAATTAAATAATAATTAAAGTGTTAGACAACACTTTATTTATGTAAGGAATACTTAAAAAAATTATTTGGAATTATTTGAAGTGTTGATAGGATTTTTTTTGTGGACAAATGGGGTTTTCGGTGTGTTCTTGGGGAGTTTTCGACTGAGCTTGACGATTTGAAGATATGTATGAATGTTCTTGGTGTTCTTGGTGTTCTTGGGGTTCTGGGTGAGATTATGATGATCAGGGTAGAAAACTCTTGAAGATATGAAGGTTTTCGGATGATACTTGAGAGCAATTTGAAGGAGTTCATGGTTGGAAAAGTGAGAAATGAAATGAGTTTACTGCCATAACACTTATATATAGAAATAGTTTTCGGCCTTAATAGGCCTTTGGCTTTGGGTTTGCGGTCCACTAATGGACCTTTGGTTGAGTTTTCGGCCAAATTAAGGGTGTTTTCGGTCATTCTTGGCTGAAAACTCTTGTTCTTGATTTAATTCAACTGTAAAATCTATTTAGATTAGATTTCATGGTCGTAAAGTCCTTGTTTCTTGATTTCCTTGACCAAAATCTATTATATGGTGGTTCTTTTATAGTTTAAACCTTAGTATTTTAACTTAGATTAATTTATAATATCATCAACCAACTTCAGACTTCAAGCTACATTTAGTTATTAGCTTATAAACATGCCCTTAAGGTAATAGAGGATATGTATACACAAGGATTGTAATGTAGTTTTAGACTCTTATTGATTTGAGAAAGACAAGTTGTTACAGTATTTGGCATAAATACTCACATACCGATTGGGGAAGTATACGAATGCTTCATTTGGGAGGTTGGGAGCTATATGTAGCATGACATCGGTTTCGATAAGGACACATGGACAGATGTTTCTGAAGCCGAAAGGGTTGGCATGTTCTAGTATCTTTCGTAAATTATTTATAAAGTTATATATTTAATATGCTTAATTTTGATGTATTTTTAATTTATTTTTGTAGACAATGTTTGATTTTGGAGCGATTACAAATGATCCAATTACTATAGTTTATTGGGCATCACTGAACAATCGGATATGTGTGCGGTATAGAGGCCGTAAAAATGTTACAAAAACTCGTTCGACAGGTTTTCAAGGGGATGTAGAGGCAGCAAGGGCTCAAGCCCCTGCAGATATGGACTTGCAACGTTGGAATGCTGCTATTGACCATTTATTAACATAAAAGAATAAAAAACCGATTTGTTGGAAACAAAGAAAGCCGAAAGAAGCAAGTAGTTAAAAATTGTATACGGACGTGCAACTACGGTAGTGCTTGTTTTTAGAACGTAAGTTACAATAATGTTTATTCAGTTATAACATATTTTTTAATGTTTATTCAAGTATAACATATTTTGTAATGTTAAAGAGGATTTGAATAGACTTGAAGCATTTCATTGTGGACATGTGATTAAAAAAGGGGAATTTGTTGATCATTTGGTTGAAGACCAATATGTAAGTTATTATTACTTAAAAATGAAGTAGATTGTTTTTTTTTTGTGTTAGTTTTAACGTATATTGAAAATATTTGTGAAATATAGAATGCCTTAGTAGTAGAGGTTTCTCAACAAACTCATCACATAGCCAACTCCGGTGGTGATCCAGACACCATTGATTGGGTCACAATATTTGAGAAGGTGTTAGGTACTCGAAGGGGGCATGTGAGAGGCATTGACCCTAAACCTTCTTCAGTAGTGGGTACAAGTGCCTAATCCCAATGGCAGTCACAGTCATAAGCACCACGACCAACACAAATACTTGTTAAATTCTTAAAGAATTTGGTAGCTTTGCTATACTGTTAAGAACTTGATGCATTTATAGTACTTTTTGGTAGTTTGGTAGTTTGTTAAATTGTTAAAGACTTAATTGATTTGGTGGTTTAATACTTTTTTAAATTGTTACTGACTTAATTCATGTGGTGGTTTGATGGTTTGATAGTTTGTTAAATTGTTAATGACTTAATGTGCTTGTGACCTAATTGTAGGATGTTGATTTGTATTGCTTTTCTTCAAAACCAGACGTTTGTGACGGTCATTTGAGACATGATCCATTCGTTTAAAAACCAAGTCAATAATGAGTAAAACAACGATGAGGAAGATGTTCTTGTTTTATGTTATCGATGATATTATTTTCGATTTATTAGATAGTTTATGGATGATATATTAGATGTTTATTTGGGATTTATTAGATGGTTTATGTAATGTGGTATATTTGATGTTTTGTGTAATGTAGTATGTATTTTTATTAAAGCTGCATTTTATAATATGTATACAAAATAATTTCATAAATAATTTGTTTAAAAAAATATTAGCAACAACACATTTTGGGATGACATTGACCAATTGCGACGACAATTGACTTCGGGAAGAGTAGCCGGAAAAACTCCGACTGGTGGCCGGAAAGGTAACCATTTAGCGACGACGAGCATTAGAGACGATGCTATTTGCGACATCAAATGAGTATTATCTATGAGGTAATAACGACGACATGCCATCGGCAAAGGTAATAGCAACGACACGTGGCATCAATTGCGACGATTTTTGTCATCACTAAAGTGTATGCTTTTGTTGTGTATGTTTCCGCATTGATTTCCATTTTACCCTAATGATTGTGATACACTATTTTGTGATGGACTTTGTGACACCGATTATATGGATTGATGATTTTTAAATTGAAATTTTTTTCCTATTTTTTTGGGATGTTACACACACAAATACTAATAGAAGAAGAAAATCAAGAGTATGTTATTGATGATAAAAATGTTTCATCAATAGAAGATGAAACAGGAGATGAGAAAGTTTCATCAATAGAAGATGAAACAAAAGATGATGGTATATATGATACCGAAGTTGTAGTGGAAAAACTTAAAAGAATAATGTTCTTTAATAAGATTGTTAAAACCAAGATTCGATATCAAAAGGATGGTGTTAGTTCTTTTGTAGGCTCATTATTGATATTCGAATATGATGTTTGGGAGTTATTTTTGGGGAAGGGTGATATATGCTAATTTTTATAACTCTTTTAAATGCCTTTATACTCCTTTGTTTTGAAATCTTTTGTGAACAATATGTCAATGTTGGTTATTTGACCATCAATGTCATTAAAATATTTTGGTTTGGCATCTTTTGCAAAGGCTATCCAATCATTGAGAATGTTAGTCATTTGGCATTAATATATGGTAACTTTGCATTTTACTTTGGTCTATTACATGTACATGTTTTTTGATTTATGTACGGTCATGGTTTGCCTTCATTATGAGTATGACCAATCCATATTACTGATAACATGATAAAATCCCAATTTCATTAACCAAACTAGTACAATATACATGATAGCATTCCCATTGGAACATATACTTCAACCAAAAGAGTACATGATTAGCTTCCTACTGGAAGATACATCTAACCCAAAAGACTAGAAAACAATACATTACATGGTCAAATTGCTAACATCATACCAACAAGTAGACATACTACACAAATCATCATCCACTGTCACATTCCAACCTCAGTAGCAAGCCTATGCATAATATTCACATGTATTACAGCTTGAGAAACAGGTTCACGAGCATTCACATGTAGATTCAAAGCATAAAGGACATGGGGGACATTAAGAGCAGTAATTTGAGGGACATTAGGTTCATTCAAAGGTAAACCACCATTAAGAAGAAGACCATGTTGAAACATATTGTCTTTATACCATTTGTTTAGCAAATGAGGGTCAATCCAACAGCAATATCCACAATCACTTTCATCATCATACATAGAAAAAAAAAAACATTAATAAGGATATAAAACCATGATCTTTACTTGATTTTTAGTAATTTATTGTTTTAGAATCAATACCATGTAACTTGGAGACACAATGAACCTCGTTCCTGGATTCTTTGGACTCCATGATAGCCATATTCCAGGTACCTCTCCACAACCACACCTTCACACATTGCTACTTAATGAAGAGGACAACTTTGTTTTCCATAGCTTTTTTGGTTGTAGGGTGACTTTGCAAATGAAGAATTTGAACAATGTTTGTACTTGTTGCTTCTAATTAATTTCCCTCCAAAATCACATTCACATACATGACATACCACATATGATGTCGTATAAGATGCCACATAAGGATTTACCCGATTATATACCGGGTGACCAGCTATTGTCCTGAAATTGATTAAGTTAACTAGTGTTTAGTGTCACAACTAGCATTTTTGCTAGGGAATTTTACTCTCCTATAATCATTTAAACAGTACAATAACTGGTGCTCTAAGCGAATATCATACTCTATGCTCATTCAAAAACATCTCTCATGTTCAACAAAGAGTTGAAACTCTAAATATTCCGATTCAAGACTACTATGATCTAGGACGTTCTTATTGGGCCTAATGGGCCAATAAGTATCCAAACCAACTAATTTAGGGCCCAGGAACCCACTTCTATAAAACTTAGCATTTTGGGCCATTTTGGGCCCAAAATAAATTAGTTTACCCTTAATGGGTCTTATTGGGCCATAACAACTTCAATTAACCCTAATGGACCATAAAACCCGTTCTTTGTACTATATGGGCCGTGAACTACCTTAAAGGTCCAATGGGCCGAAAAGTATTCTTAAACTTCATAAAAATCGAGCAAAGCCAAGATTGAGCCCAAATCACTTCAACTCCTTCCTCCTAGCCCAAATTATTGGCCCAAGGTGTTTACTAGACAAAAAAAGAGAAGAAGAAGAAATGAGAAATTATGAGCATGTGCGACCTCAATATTGCATGGTGGTCACACATGCACCAAAACCCCACATACAACTAGGTAATATCTCATATAACTAGGAAAGCCTTATGTAAGTCCCTAATTTGCCCGTGTATCAGTCAGATACGTTTGATGGTGCGGAATCCTAATCAAACGGATGATGTCGGATCAAATAGAAGAGAAGGAGAAGAAGAATATTATGAATCTTGAATGTATTGATAGTATAAATTAAGTTCCTTACACAAGATTCACCCACACAAACGTTCCTTTCTCTCTGCCCATAAACTCCTTAGGGTTTATCAATCCCTACTCCTCACCCTAACACCTTTATTTATACTTGAATATAGGTCGGACAAAACAAATGGGCCGTAAATGAGTTTACGGCCATAAGGTGTTTACGGCCATAAACTCAGCCGTAAACTAGGCCATAAATTCATAAAATATTACAGAAAAACACAATTCCCAGAAAAGTAAAGTATAAACCATATTTTGACCCAACAATCTCCCCCTTGGTTTATAGCTTTCTTTTCTTAAATGACCCAACAAGCTCCCCCTAAAAAGTAGCTGGCTCTTCTTGTCAATCTTCAATGGGAGCTTGGCTTCAGCTTTAACCTTCGGTTTTTCACAGCATCAGGATGAACATATGAATCTTCAATGAATGACTTCATCTTGAGCACTTGAACTTTTCTTTAAGATTTTGACATTGAACGCCCATTGGGTGAGGAGGCTTCTTGTACTGATTCTTGAAAATTGGCGCTTTCAGCTTGAGAATCTTCAGAGAGAACATCAGAGAGAACAAATCTTCTGGATCACTTCAGCAGGTACAAAGATAGAAGCAGACTGATTGAGGAGGCTTCAAAGCAATCTGTCATATATTCTTAAATTTCTGCTTCACCTTGCTTCTGGGGTTAAAGTATTGAATGTTGAAAGAATAATCTTCATTTCTTGGTCCTTCGAATGTGAATTCTTCGATGCTCACGGACGAGGCTTTGGCTCAGAAATCTTCAACACAAACTCCATGAGTCTTATTTTTACCTAAAATCACTTTTCAAGATAAAACAAAACTAAAAGAAAACTTAGTACACAAATTTAAATATATATATATATTTTTTGAATTTTTGATTTTTTTATACAAGTAATAAAACATAAATAACACTATTTTTAGATTTTTTTAATTTTCTGATTTTTGTTTGTTTTCCTTTTTTTAATTTTAATTCTCCCCTAATATATAAACTAGAAGAAACTATGAACAAATTTAACAAAAAAAAAATGATATCTAACTTTAAGAATGATTTGGGATCAAAGTTTTTAGACAACCTTTATCCACTTGTCGGTACCTTCTATCTTCACGTCTTTGTCTGGTCAATCGTCGGTATTGTTGTCCACTTAAACACAAAAAATTGTGACTGATTTAGTACATACTATTTGTTACAAGACAAGGTGAACTTAAGTTCCTAAAAATTATATATGATCCTAATTCCTTGGATACTATATCTTAAGGACCATTCATCTGACGACGACCAGGGATATTGTTGTCCACCTAAATTGAGCAGCGAGATCTATAGACAATCTGTATGTGTTCAATTTTAAGTGTACTAGAACGTGTTTCCCGCTTCCTGATAAGCCCCAGCCATCAAGAACTTCCAGAGTACTCCTTACACCGGGTGAGCAGACAACCATTCAGGGAGAAGATAGATTCAGAATTTAATAATTTATCACTTTAGAGGGGTTGAGAAGTAGAAAGTTGCATATGTTGTGTACCAGGTTGAATTTGAGGTCACGCAAAGGAGACAGCATATGGCTAACAGATAGGAGGAGTTTCATAGATGTAACATGCAGAGAAATAGAGTTGCATATGTTTCAATCCAGTTCGGATCTCTTCCAATCATGCAAAGGGTGCAACATATGACTAACAGACTGAAAGAAAGAAAATGATATTCTACAGACCTAATTTATCGGATTTACCAGTCGCCCCA